AAGACAAATCTGTTTGTTTTCCTAGCAGTCCGTGGTATTCTCAATACTCTTCTCCAGCACCACAGCTCAAAGGCATCAATTCTCCTTCTATCCTCCCTAGCACACAATTTATCCTTTTAAAGCATAGAACTTGGTGGTTTTTAGTATATTCACAGAGTTGTACAACATTATCATAACAATTTACGAATAGTTTTATTATCCCCTAAAAGAAACCCCATACCCAGTAGCTGTTATTCTTGTCTTTCCCTCAGGGAAAAAAACCCACCAAAATCTGCCTTCTGAAGGATGAGCCACTAAACAAGAACTTTCTGGAGAGTCTAGCAATCCGGTCTTGAATTCCCCCTCTCTGATACAGCCCCATCTCACACACCAAGCTGTGCCAACGTGGATGTCGAGCTTGTTGCTAAAAAGGAAAACCCATCTGTACAGTGAGGGCCGAGCAGGCGGGCAGTGCAATCATCACCGCCCCCCACCTGGCTGGCTGCCCACGGAGCTGTGAAAAACACAGTCCACGTTCAGAAGAACAGTTGTCCGGAGGCAAATCCAGTTCTGTGGGCCTCTATATAGAACCTGAGTGCTGCAAACAGTCAACACATGTGGCTGCTAATCTAAAGGTTGGAGGTTCATGTCCACCAAAAGGCACTTGGAAGAAAATTTGGCTATCGACTCCCAAAAAAATAATAATGGACCCAACTTGCCATCAAAAGCCTCAGCAGCACAATTTCAGTCCGACACACATCGAGCTGCCCTGATCTGATGGCAAATGATTTGATTCCAAACCTACATGAAGGTCCTTTTAAAGAAAAAGTCAGCACAGAAAGTATTTATAAGGTTCCCTTGCAAGTGAAGAGATTTGAAGCTCAAATTACATTACCTAGATGTTACAAGTCTATCTTTATTCCTTGTACATAAAGTTGCCAATTTTTAGCCCCTTTGGACCCATCAAAATGACAGCCTCATGATAATTATGAGACTTCTTGTATTCTTGCTTACCAAATGTTAGATGAGACAATATTAATCATTTTGGGTGGTTATGATAACATTTTAAAATCATATTTACAGATATGAACAAAAACATGCTAACGATGTAAATAAAAACAACTCTTACACTAGGATGGTAGGTATATGGGTTTCTTCTCCTCAACTAAATATCTCAAAACGTTGTGTGTTAAAGACGTATGAAAAAGGGAAAATGAGCAGACGCAGGGGACGGAGAAGGAAAGAGGGGGCCTTGTACCGTTATCTGCTGTGACAATTCACTACACACTGAGCATGTGTGTATGTATCAAAAGTTGACATAAGCTCTGCTGGAGAAGGAGGGACAATCTCCTCCTGTACCAGTCAGATCTGATTTGACGGCACACACACAAATAATAAAAAGTTGACATAAAACTGTAGTACTTCAAAGAATTGAGACAAAAAGCTGTTCCGTGAGTCAGAAATATTACAAACCTCGATTCCCCCGTTTACAATAGCTAGAGGTGTCTTGTCTAGCAAGCGGTGTCTTGGCATGGTCAAAGGCAAACTGTACAGAACTTACTTTTTGCTGGCCTCGCAGACGTCTGTGATATTGGAGAAGAGATGGTGGTTCTCTGTTTTGGTCATCGTGTCACTCAGCTCCTTCGAATTTTTAAACATTCGTATCAGTATCTCCAAGCTGAGTAAATACGAATGTTCTGAAGATATGACTTCAAAGATGGCCTGGTGAAAAGGAAAAAAGGGGAATTCACCCTTTTACTTAAAGAACTACGCACACCTTTCATGATGCTTTTAGAAGAATGTCGTAGACCTTAAAAACACAGACACACAACCATGGATAAAACTGTACCCCCAAATAACTGTCTTCAATGCAAGGCACATAGACCCCAAATCTTGAGGGGAGAAGAAAACACTGCATATAGTATCTAAATGGAGGGGGAAGGAAAGCATTTCCCTGACTTGCGCTTGCATCTTGAGGTCATGCCTTTGTCACGGGGGTAGAATCACTGGAAGGAAGTGAGAGCATGCGGTAAAACCTCAGGGTGAAGCTAATTAACCTTGGAGGTCAGTCATCTCCAGCCTGCTTTCAAAGCAGGCCGCTCCAGAGGCAGTAAACATGAATGACCACCACCTGACATTCAGGAAAAAAATTTCATAAAGCCATTTATTTCCTAATATCACACATGTGTTTTTCTCTCCTTGTGTTTTAATACTGCTAATTTCTAGGTAATGATAACAAATGTTTTGACTGTTTTAGGATAGTATGGCTGTATCTTTCCACAATAGGTTTTCATCAAGCCAGAGAAATTCTTCTATGTAACGACCTACAATTGAAAGCAATTCCTCCTTCTCAACAAGTCGTTCTCTGCTTGCATCAGTGCCTCAAGCAGGAACCAAGAAGCCTCTGCACACATCAGCCAATGGAATAGAACTGAGAACCCAGCACTAGACTATCTATGATCAACTGATATTTAACAAGGAAATAAAACCCATCAAATGGGGAAACTACAACCTCTTCAACAAATGGTGCTGGCAAAACTGGACAACAAAAGCTGAAGCAGGATCCACATCTCACATCATACACAAAAACCAACTCAAGGTGGCTCAGAGACCTGGGAGTAAAGCCCAAAACCATAAAGTTCATAATAAACTGGGAACAAGCTTTGAAGGTCTACTGGTCCTACAGTATAAAGAGACTGCCAAATACAGCCATAAATACAATTGATGAATGGGACTTTCTAAAGATTAAATCTCTGTGCACATCAAGAACTTTTTTCAATTGAGAGGAAAGAAAACCTACCATCTGGGAAAAAACATTTGGCAATACCATCTCAGACAAGGGTTTCATAATAAAAGTTTACGGAACGCTACTAGGCCTCCAGAAGAAAAAGACAAATTACAAAATGGGCAAGAGACATGGGAAGACTTTTCACAGAGGAAGACATTCAGATGGCCAACAGACACTTGAAGAAATGCTCCGAATCACTGCCAGTGAGAGAGATACAAATCAAAACCACACTGAGATACCATCTCACCCCAGTAACAGTGGCAAAATTTAACAGGATAAGAAGCAATAAATGTTTGAGAGGACGTGGAGAGGTGAGAACTCTTACATACTGCAGGTGGGATTGTAAAATGGTGCAACCACTCTGGAAGGCAGTTTGGCATTTTCTCAAAAAGCTGAACATAGAAACTCTACTAGGAATATGCCCCAAGGAAATTAGAACCAAGACGCCAAGGGAGATTTGTACACCAGGGTTCACAGCAGCGTTGTTCACCATTACAAGAACAGCCCAAATGTCCAACCACAACAGAATGAACTGAGAAACTGTGGTACATTCACACAATATGCAGCATCCAAGAGCAACAATTTAGAAAAATACTAGGAGAGACTAGACAGCATTATGCTGAGTGAACTAACTCAGTCTGTTAAGGACAAGTACTGCCTAAGATCATTACTGTAAAAGCAAAGGATAACTAGTAAAACATGTACGGGGATGCAAGGAGGGAAAGGGTAGGAACAGAAGGGTGAGCATGGATGGGGGACAATCACAGGGTTGCACAATTTGGTGGGAGGAGAGAGTGGGAAAGATCCGCTGGAGACCTGAAAAGACCAGGTAGCAATGAACACAGTCCAATGGTGATTACTCTATAAAACACAATGTATAAGAATGAATCTATGAAACATAATGTCAATGAAGGAAAGTGTGGGAAAACATCTGCATAATAAGGTCAATAATTTTAAAAAAGGAACCTCTGCAGAAACTCTTGGTGTCAGGCACACAGCCGTTTTCCTGATAAGCATTTGTTAATGATGAAAGGCCAAACCACACATGTGTGTGGACAGCAATGCCCTGTGTGAGGAATTCATTCGGCTCATTGTTACTGTTGTTGTTGTTATGTGCCATCAAGTCCACTCCGACTCACAGCAACCCTATGAACCCTGCTCTATCCTGAGCCAATTTCATCGTCTCTGACACTGTCCCCATTCCCCCAGTTGCTGAGTCAGTCCCTCTCATCCAGGGTCTTCCACTCCTCTTTACTCCTTCACCCTTCCAAGCATGACTTTCCAAGGACTGGTCCCTCCTTGCAATATGCCGAGAGGATGTCAGACAGAGTTTCAAAATCCTTGCCTCCAAGGCAAAACGGACCTGTTTGTTCTCTTAGTAGTCCATGGTATACGCAATACTTTTCTCCAGCACCGCAACTCAAAGGCATCGATTCTTCTTCTATCATCCTAAATCACTGTCCAGCTCTCTTATGCATAGCAAGTAATTGTGAAGATCATGGTCTGGATCAAGCACGCTTTAGTCTCTAGACTGACATCATTGCTTTTCAGTACTCTAGTGAGGTCTCTTACAGCAGATTTTCCCAATGCAATTTGTATTTTGATTTCCTGGCTGCTAGTACCAAGAATGTTGAAGGTGGAGCCTAGTGCTAAGGAGCTGTGCTATCAACTTGAAGGCACATGGTTTGAATCCACCAGCTTCCCTACAGCAGAAAGGTGAGCAGTCGTCCTGTGTGATTTATCACCTCTGAAAATGTGCTGGAGGGTCAGCGTTCTTGTTGCTGTGTTGCCGTCAAGTCAGAAAAAGTGGAATCGACTCATAACTGACTCCAAAGCCAACTTTCAGAGGCTTTCAAGATCACTTGAAGCACTTGCTGCAGAAGATCCAACACTGCAACCTTCAAAAGAGATTGTATCTTAACGTCAACAAAAACAAAAATTCTCACCACTGGATCAACAGGCAACATCATGACTGATGGAGACAAGATTGAAACTGGCAACAACATCTTACTTGGATCCACAAATAACAGTCAGAAAATCAGAAGATGAACTGCACTTGGATTATTGAGGCTAGGATTTTGAAGCTCTATCTCATATACTTTGGGCATGTGGCCAGGAGGGACTGGTCCTTGGACAAGGACATCATGCTGGAAAGGTGGAGGGACAGCGCAGGAGAGGAAGACTCTGGATGAGATGGCTTGATACAGTAACTGGGACATTGGGAGTAGGCGTTTCGGAGTCAGCAAGACCGACTCAGGACAGGGCAGGCTTCAGAGCTGCTGTACATAAGGAAGCCGTGAGTTGCAGGCAATTTGACAACACATCACAACAACAGGAGTATATCTGCTGTTTCTTATTTTTAAAATTTATCAATGACTGCATAGTACTTTTTTAAAGATATGAAACAAGTATGCTTTCAAAGGACATCAGCGGAAAAGTGCACGCAGTAGGTGAAAATATGGAAGGACAGGAAGCGGCACTCGTATTCTCAGGGGTAGAACATGTGCTCGGTAGGAAACATACCTCCTGTCTCTTTCTCTCTTCCTGGCTGACTGTCTGTGATAGGCCATTCATCTTCACCTGGGGAGAAAACAAAGCCAAGCACATTTACTTTAAAAATGTCTCTATTTTAAAATGAAGGCTGCATAGTGGAGTGGACTTGGGGGGAGGGATTGTATAACAATGAAAGAATTTTTCTTTTACTTTTCAAGAGAAGAGTGAACTGGATGGGAGGGGAAGGTTGGGCAGGGAGAAAAATGCAACAATGAATGAATGGAAATCCAAAGTCCCTGTAAATTTTCATTAAAATTAATTTTTTAAAAAGTCTTACACAAAGCATAAATCTACATATTTCAAAACTGAATTAAGGAAAATATTGACTGAGTACATATAAACAATTAATTGACATTTAGGTTCACAAATAATATTTAATCAAATTACTTAATTAGTATTCCCAAACTCTTTGGCACCGAGTCAAAACTAACTCACCCTGACACTGGTTAAATTTCTAAGGCTGAAAATATTTACTGGAAAAGACAGCCCATCTTTCTCCCTTAAAACAGCTGGTGTGAGCAGTTTCAAGAACTACACCATGGGAACATTTACTAAATCAGTGTAGTTAATAGTAAAGAACTAGAAAGTATCAGGTGAAGTTATCCTGTAAGAGTTACTTTATTCTAAATTATGGTACAGTCACATGATGGAATAGTATACAGCACCTAGGAGCAACAGCTGAAAAATAGTGTATAACTTGGGAGAGAGGGGAGAGCATTATACTGAGGGAACTAATTCACTTTTATAAGAACAAATACTGCCTAAAACCACAATGGTAAAATAAAGGATAACTAGTAAAACGTGTTTGGAGGTCCATGAGGACAGAGGTGGGGCAGAGAGGTGAAGGTGGGTGGGGGGAAATCACAGGGTCACACAACTTAGTGGGTAGAGGGGGCGGGGGGTAAAGGAAATGGGAAAGAGCCAGTGTGGACCTGAAAAGACAGGGGAATAGTGGGCAGAGTTCAACGGGGATTAATTTTATAAAACACAATGTATGGGAATGATTGTATGAAACATAAAGTCAATGAAGAAAAGTGAAAATACCACTGTGTATATAAATGAAACACATGTTTAGGAATAATAATATGCATTCCAATAAAAATATGAAGAGGGGGAGGGAAGTTATTCTTAGTTGGGTTACTCTTAAAAAAACAACAAAAACCTTCTCAACCAAATCTCCCAAGTCATCAATCAGAAACCAAGCAGTAAAGAAGAGAACTCCGTCGCCCAAGTCCGTAGTGAGTTGAGGAGGATTGCATCGCCAACTCACAGAACATCAGTGCTCTGTATAAATATTTCAGCAGTCTTTTTAGTAGCTTTAAATTTTACAAGTGGGACTATTTTCCATGTGTATGTGTACCATCAAGTCAGAACCAACCCATAGCTGACCCTCCAGCGGGTTTTCAGAGGCTGTTAATCCTATGGGAGGAGACTGCACATCCTTCTCCTGCATAGCAGCTGGTGGGTTCGAACCATGTGCCTTCTGCATTGCAGCACAGCTTCTTGCCACTAGGCCACCAGAGCTCCTTTTTCCCACAGTATTTTCAATCGCTTCCTATTCATGTCGAAGTAGAACAATGAATAGGGAAGCCTGACGGAGAAGCGATGCCTTTAATAGTGGTGCTGGCGAAGCGTACAGAACCACGGACTGCCAGGAGGACAAGCTAATCAACGCTGGAGGAAGTGCAGCCACGAGGCCCCTCAGTCGGACAAGGATGCTGGAACTTCAGCTCACGTGCCCTCCTCGTCAGGAGGGGTCAGTCTTTGGAAAGAACCATCCTGGTGGGAAAAGCAGGTCAGCAAAAGAGAGGAAGACCTTCAACACGATGAGCTGACAGAGTGACTGCACCAGTGGACTTGAGCAAGGGGCAAATGACAAGGATAGTGGAGCACAGGACGAGGGGTCAACTGCTATTCACAGGATTTCTGAGAGCGGTGTTGACGCAACGGCACCTAACAACAATAGTGGGGAGATAGAGATAGATAGATAGATTAGATAGATAGATAGATAATAGATAGATAGATAGATATTCATTTACTCATTTACTTAATTATTTACTGACTTATTTGTTTGTTTGTTTGGTGTACGGTGGAATTGGATCCGGCTGGCACAGGAGGACTCTGCCCCTCCTTCTCCAGAGGAACATCTGGTGGATTTGAACCACACACCTTCGGGATTACACTGTAGCGTCTTGCCTCTCTAGGCCACCAGAGCTCCTTACAGTGGGGATGTTAAACCTGCATTCTTTTTTTTTTTTTTAATACCTTTACAGTATGTTTTATTCATATGCATTTTTTTTTTTATTATTTTTATGAGTGTACTGTCAAATCAGATCTGACTGGTACAGGAGGAGATTGTCCCTCCTTCCCCGGCAGAGCATCTGGTGGATTCAAGCCGTGAGCCTCTGGGATTGTTGTTGCAGGTCCTTGCCACTAGGCCACCAGAGCTCCCCTAAACCTGCATTCTTTTAAGAAGCCGAGCTCATTGCTGTCGAGTGGGATTTGAGACTGTACATCACACCAGAGGGGACTGCCTATCTTTCTCCTGCAGAGCCACCAATGGATTGGAACTGCCAGGGAAGTGCCACCACGGTGAGGTGCACATGGTACCAAGAGAAAAACACGCCAGGCCCATAGCTGGCATACTCCTTAGTGGAGCTCTGGTATGAGTCCACAGACAGACGTGCTGCCAAGCCAAGGGTTGAGCCTCGCTGGCAGTTCAGTGAACCATCTGAAGGTGATTTATAAAGCCTGTTGTCAGAGATCTCTCCAAAGTACTGAAGAGCAATAACATCAGGCTGGTGACTAAGGTGCGCCTTATCTAGGCTTTAAGTCTTCGCGATTGTGTGCTAATGCATCAGAGAGCTGGACAGTGATGAGGGATGATACAAAGAGAATTGATGCCTTTGGGCTGTGGTGCAGGATAAGAGTGTTGAGTATATCATGGACTGCTAGAAGAACAAACAGGTTCGTCCTGGATAGGGTGAAACCAGGCTGCTCCTTGGAGGCAAGGATTCTGAAGCTCTGTCTGACATACTTTGGGCATGTTGCAAGGAGGGACCAGTCCTTGGAGAGGGACATCATGTTTGGGAGGGTGGAGGGACAGAGAAGGAGAGCAAGACCCTCGATGAGATTGACGGATTCAGTGATTGGGGTAGGGGAGTAGGTGTGTCGGAGATAGTGAGATTGGCACAGGATAGGGCCTGGTGCAGGGCTGTTGTACATAGGTATCTATGAGTCGCAAGAAAAGATTAAAGTCACACAAGTGTCGAGGACTTTCATTCATAGAGTCTCTCTGAGTCACCTACGACTCGATGGCACTTACAACAACAACATGAGTCGCAGGCAAATAACAACACAACAACAATATGAAGTAGAGACTCGCAAACTAAAAACGGCTCTCCTAGATAACAGAATTACTATAAAATGCATTCAACATCTTCAATCCAAACAACACAATTTTAATAAAATATGCACTAATGTTAAATTTTATTCAGAAGGCATCTTTTAATTAAAAGAAGAATTTTTATTGTCAGAATTCAAGGAGATTTCACTAATATATTCCAAAGGACTCTCTTCCTTGAGTGTCCCGGCGATTTACACGTAGGAATATGCAGCGTTTCACAGCACAGCAGGCTGTGAGACAGGGAAGGGCAACTCTTTATGGAAACAGAGAAAGGGTCATCATGACCAAGGAGGCGAGAAGAACCACAGAACATGAATTACAGATGCGGCTCCAGTTCTAGAAAAGGGAAGAGCCATATGCTGCAATCTAGAAAATATCTTTTTTTTTGGTCAATTTTTATTTTATATTGATTTGCTTACAAATTTGCTCATATACATTGTTTTACACTATTCTTCATTCACATTGTGTTTCATATAATCATTCCCATTCATTATCTAAGGTGCGTCTGATACAGGCCATGGTCTTTGCAATCACTTGTTATGCACCAGAGAGTTGGACAATGGCCAAAGAGGATAGAAGAATTGATGCCTTTGAGCTGTGGACTGCTAGAAAAACAAACAGATTCATCCTGGAAAAGGTCAAACCGGGCTGCTCCTTGGAGGCAAGGATTCTGAGGCTCTGTCTAACATACTTTGGACATGTTGTAAGGAGGGACAGGTCCTTGGAGAAGGACATCACGCTTGGGAGGGTGGAGGGACAGCACAAGAGAGGAAGGCCCCCTATGAGGTGAATTGATTCAGTGACTGGGGTAATCGGGATGGGTGTGTCGGAGACGGTGCAATTGGCACAGGACAGAGCGGAGTTTAGGGATGTTGTACATATGGTCGCTATGAGTCGCAAGCAACTCGATGACACATAACAACAACAATTCATTATGTTTTATAAAATTAATCACCATTGAACTATGTCCACCAGCACCCAGCCTGTCCAGATTCCTGCTGGATCTGTCTTAGTTCCTTTACCCACCCTTCCCTGCACTCACCAATGTGCGACCCTATGAGTTCCACCCCCCAGCCCCATACTCACCCCTCTCCTCCCACCCTTCCCCCACCGGATCCTCATACATGGTTTACTAGTTATCTTTCTATTTCAACGGTCTTATGTAATATTTGTCCTCCTGAGACTGAGTTAGTTCACTCAGCATAATGCTCTTGGAGAGTATCTATAAAGCTATTTCCATTCTCCTTCGAAAGTCTAGAAGCCCAGTGATGCGGGGCACACCAAGCGTGGAGTCCACTGACACACAGCTCTCTTTACACATAGCGACTGCAGTTGTTGTTGTTGCTGTACCATCGAGTCAGGAACTGACCCACAGCTGACCCTCCTGCAGGTTTTCAGAGGCAGCAAACAGCACAGGAAGAGAGTGTCCAACTTTCTCCTGCAGAGCAGCTATTAGATTTGAACCGTGTGCCTTTGGGTAAGCAAAACAACCCCTCACCACTAAGCTACGAGTGCGCCTTCTTTACGCATTAACGTCTATAATTCATTTGTTTTAATAGTTAACAAAGCAAAGTAATAGAGTTATGTGATCCACAAACGACCCTGGGCATGACTCAGGACC